TGCGTCTTCAGGTTCTAGATGGCTGTGGTTCTGTGAGGGGCTTTCACTAATAGCCTGCGTGACCTTGGGAACATTTCTTACCCTCTCTGTCCAGCAGAGCTAAAGACTTAAGTCTGCTTCAGGCCTCGTGAGCAAGAGATCCTAGTAAGTGTCAACTGTGACTCCTGGCAAAGCTTTGTGGCGGCCCCACAACTCCAGGCAGTTTGTGTCCTCTCCCGTTTGATACCACAGGACAGTGATTCCCCAGAGAACCGAAGAGTCAGCGTCCATCCCACAGAACTTCAGCCTCCGCTCCAGGCAGGACCGCGACACAGTGTCATTGCTCAGAAATCACCCAGCACTATCGCACAGAGCCATTCCCAGGTTACCTCACAGGACCTGGGATGGATGGAACATGGGGCTGCCGCCAAGCATTGCTCTTCAGTCTTGGCCATTCCCCTTTGAGGGCTGGAAAACAGGGTCCCTTCCAAGTCAAATAAGAGCTAATTGGGCCTGGTACGCAAGCATGGGCATAAGGGAAATGGTGCTTCCTGATTCCGGCCTTCACTGATTAGACGGCATCCAGACGTTGTGCTTCCTCCGGGAGGCCCAGCCTCAACTCGCTCATTAGGGCCTGCGTTCGACTCTGATGGACACTCGCGGGGTAAGCCACGGTGAGGAGGTGTGCTGCACGTGATGTCGTCTTCACAAATCTCAGACCTAAAACGGAGGCTTCTTTGCCTGAGAGCCTGACAGTTTGAACTCAGCCTGAGTTGGCACAGTCTTCTGGAACCTTCCTGGGGAAATGTGTGCAGTCGCCCAGGCTTGGCATGTGTTCTCATCCTTGCTTCTTCCCTCTCGGAAGTGAAAGTGGAAAGCTCTGAGCCTTAGGAGCTAGAAAAGACTAACAGAGGAGAAAAAATCATGAAGAGAGATGCAAAAGGGTCTCTGATTTGGGGTGGTGGGAGAAAGGGATTGCTCATGGTAGTGTGTGTTCTTTTTTGGAGAACCTGAGCTTTTGAATCTCTGGCCAGGGTCTCTAGTTGGGAGACTTGTTGGGGTGACCTTGGCAATGATCATCAGGGGAAGACATGAAGGAGCAAATGACTTTGCTTTTCGCAATTATTTCAAATACCCCTTTCCATAAAGGTGGGTCTTCTTCATAAAAACTAGTTTGTTAGTTTTTAATAGTCTTTTTATGATTATTAATTAGGATATACTTGACATAAAACATTTAGAAAATTCACCACTTATAACCAGAAGAATGTGCTTGAAGATTCTCAATTTGTATTTTCCCCGTAAGGCTCGCTGACTCTGGACCACCTGCACGGGGACTTGGTTCACAGTTAAAGTTATTTCTAAAGGGAAAGAAACCTTATTCCCTCTATTGTGGGTCTCCAGGTGACCGTGGAGGACAAGCCCTTTCACAGGGCAGCATGGCCGGGTTGCAGTCATAGGAGATTAATCGGAGACATTTCTGGAAGCTCCAGGACTCGACCAGATACTACATTCTCACAAAGGCTCCCTGCAGCGTCGGCATGTGCCGCTGGCAATGCTCTGTGAATATTTGTGGTCAGCCCCAGGTCCTGTGAGGAAGGCAAGGATCTGGGGTGCTCTCTGACCCTCCTGAGAGTGGCTCTTGAGTCTGACGCCGGAGTCAGTGAAGCACCAGTGGCAGTGGCATCACCTAATGGCCTGGTCCCCAGTGCCCCTGGCCTTGGGGTGTGCCAGCCAGATTCAGAAAAAAGATTGAAACCTAAGTACTTCTTGGAACACTAGCCCGTGGCATCTGAGGCAAAGATGAAAGAGACCTCAAGATCAGAAGCCCTGGATTCAAGTTGGGGCCCTACCCTGACAGACTGAGGACCTTTGTCCCCTCCCCGTTAAAATGCAGGTGATAATGTTCTTTCACTGTCAGGAGAGGGGCTGAGGTAGAGGAAGTAAGGGCTTTGCAACCTCACCGTCCTGCGGTGGGTGAGAAATTGGTGGCACCACCTCGCTAGTCTGTTTCACCTGGGATCAGAGCCCCTCATGAGTTCCAATTCCTTCCGTGTCCCTATATTCTCTTCGCCTCAAGCCGGTGGAATTCCTCCACAAGAACCAGCTGACACGGAGGCCAGAGAAACCTGCCATTCCCGTCTGCTGTTTTTCTGGGTTCA